TAGTAGTAGTAGTAGTAGTAGTAGTAGTAGTAGTAGTAGTAGTAGTAGTAGTAAGAATGCTCAATTCGTAGCGATGCCAGCCCCGGCCCTCGTAGCGTCCGATCGCTCCGTTCATAGTAAGGCCAGGAGCCGGCCCTAGCAGCTTCTTGTGACGTTCGTAGGCTTCTAGCACGGCCGGTAGCGATGGCCTCCAACCTACGTGCGATGGCTGGCATGGCCTCCTTTGCTACTTAATAGATGGTGTCGGATTGTGTCGGCCGAGGTGAATCACCAGAACGCGCTTCCGGTCTTGCAACGCCGTGTGGCTTCGCTCGGCTTCAAGGACCGCCCTGTGGCGTGAGGGTTCTCCTCCGGCTGGAAATGGTGACGGTTGCTGCCAGGTCGCTTCTCTTGCTGTGACTTCATCGTTGATCCGAGACTTTGGGGCTGATATTGTGTCTTCCCATGTGTCTTCCGTCATGAGAACGACAAACGACGTGTCAAGTCAGGACATGGATCTGTGGACCACCCTGTCATGGGTCCGCGACTTTGCGTGACTCGGTGGCACCGTGCCCCGTTTGGGTGAGGCCAAAGCAGGCGTTGACAGATGCTCTCTCTCTATAAAAGACCGTCAATTAGATAACAGATCCCCACTGAGAATGTATTGGAAACTGTTTCTATCTATTTGGGGATAAATATATTATATATATATGATCAAAATTGATCAAACATGATCGCACATAAGATGTCTTCTAGACATGAAATATTGTCCTATATTGGAGTTACATGTCGTTGCATCCTGTGTTCATGTCTTCAGTAGACATGACACCACCTTTTTTGTAGATGCAGATCGCCTAACATTTCATGTTTGGCTGCTCAGACCTGCAGTCAAGCGGTGGTCATTCCACCAGTGGATATCTAGTCAGATATTTGGTAAGCAGGGGTGAACCGCATACAAGCTGTTGCAGGTTTGGTCCTGGGAACCACTGTTGACCTGAAAAAGAAGAGGTTGCAGATGATTCACTAACCTAAGCATTATCTATATGTCAGCTTGAGAGTTCCAAGATTTGCAGGGAGTTCCCTACATGTCACTCTCGCATCTCTTCAGAACAGCCTGAGGCCTTTGATCATCCACATCCATTTCGATAAGATGTGCAGGTTTCTCTTGGAGGAGAGGTTGACCTTCATAAATCCTGAATCCTCAAGTCATGGATATTTTCTCACTATTTAGGAGCCACTTCTCAAGCAGCTTTGAGGGTGGTCTATCCAATAGGAGACTTCTTGTGGATTTGATCCACAGATGATGTTTGTGTTTGAGATTATGTTCTGCATTCATTTGTGAATTGCATGACTTTGAAGTTCACTTTACATAGTGTGCGTCGCTTTGTTGCCAGCGAAACCATCGTCCATTGTAGCTGTGGTTGCTTGTTGCGAGGACACGCACTATCGTTCACAGCCACTTGTCAGAAGTTGATCACGGATGTGGTTCACACTGCCAGCCTTGTGGGTCGGTATTGCTGGGTTCCACCAAAAAGCAGGCAGCAACACTCTCCAAATCATTTTGGCCAGCAAATCCAACCACAGGCAGCTAGGCAGCTTTTGGCTTGGCTAGGCTTCTCCAAGATCAAGCGTTCCCACCATTCCCTTCACCGTTCTCTTCCTCATGTTCCACTGGGGGTCTCCCTGTTCTGCGCGCGTTGGTGTTCGATATTAATCGGATGTCACCCTCAGAAATCCTTGCACTCTGAAAAACGCAGGCCTTGCATGGTATCCCCTACCAGGCCTTGCATGGTCGGTTGCAGTTGCACTCTGTTTTGACCTACCTGGATCTTGCAAGGTTTCCTAGGATCTGAATCGGGAGATCAGCCTGAAGCAATGACCAACCTGCCTGAAGCAATGTGTTTGCCCCAGATGAATCTGGGATACACGAGGATACAAGAGGTCAACAGCTCCCACGTTTCTTGTTCAGAGAACTCCCATGTATTTTCCATTGAGAGTTCTTCTTTCAGTTTTGACTTCTAACATGCCTCCTAAGAACGAACCGCTTCGCTGGCCGAGTTTCTCGGCAGCGCTTCGCGCTTAGCGCCAACTGTTCAGGTTTGAGACCGGAAGCTCCTGTGGCTTGAACAACCGTGAGGTCCGTGATCGATGGGAGCGCGACCTCTTTCAAGGCCCGGTGGCCGGTGGCCGGGTGAAGAGGAGAGACGGTAGACTGGGAACGACCTGGTGTTGTCAAAAGTCGTGGTGGTAGAACAATGGGTGGTATTGAATATAGCTGAATCAATGGGTGCTTCGAACTCTAGCGCAGGGTGAAGAAGTCAACGTCCACTGGAGGATCCTTTTCTTCGCATGCACGTGCCATGCCAGGGCTCCAGCCTCCAAACAGACGGCTCCGCTCTCCGCTCCAGTCCAACCAGGAGAGCCGGAAGGCCTCCTCGCTCCAACCTGAGGCGCCTACACGGGTTGCCGTGACTTCGAGCGGCCCAAGTATGGCGTGCTCAATGTGCACAATGACTATCGCGGCGTGGTCCGCGCCAAGCAGTATGGCTCGGGGCCTCGGGTCGGCCGCGGGCAGCGGCGCAGTTGGGGCGCCATGAGAGGTGGGATTTGAGAAAATCACGGCGCCATGTAGATCAGGGTAGTGATCAGGGATTAACCTGGTTTCGCCAAACATGATAAGGGTTCATTAACATAGTTCAACATGGTTTGTGGGACCTCCTGGGAGTTTGTGCCAGAAAGAAGCAGGAATTGGTGGTCAAAGAATCAAAGACACATGTTGGACAGTTTCTCCTTCTCCTTTCCATCCTGATCCAGTCCATCGTTTCGCTACATCTCCCCCCGCCTTCCCTTCCACCCTTCCACCACCTCCATCCTCACGCCCGACACGGATCACCGATCGATCTGTGGCCCAGGTGACTGCTACATGGTTTTGAAAGATGCGCGTTTACGCACCACCTTCTCTCCGGAGGACGGCATCCACACACAGCACCACAGAGCACAGCCAGCACAGCCAGCACAGCAGCTTTCTTTGGGTGTTGGAAGCGCCCAGTCGGTGACAAGTTGAGGCAAGATGTGGAAACTGGAGGTTTGGTCATGCAAACGTGGGCATGAAGTTGGAAACCAGTTGCTATAATTTGCTATAGAGAGAGAGAGAGATGGTGTGAAAGTGCGCGATTTTGATGTTGGCAGATTGAACGTGACTCTGCCTCTAACTGCAAAATTGTGGGTGGGTTGTCCTGGCGGAGGAAAGAGCTGCAGTAGGATCAGAGTCGATTGCACCAGGTGTTCTGTAGCTGCCACAAGATATATGCCTCTTAGAGATGGACAAGACCTCTTCTATTTGATTTAGAGTGCAGAACCTCACTTTCTGTCTAAGCCACTCCACCACACACACTCCAACACCCCACACCGCTCAGCTCCGGAGTCCGCGTCCCGGGAGGACTCGGCGAATCTGAAGGCCGAACGGCTCGCTTGCCTGGACTACTACGCACATGCGACTTGGCGCAGAGGCATGGCACCCTATCATTAAGGCATGGAGACCTCCCATCGTGGGTGTCGATGGTCGAACCCAAATGTACATAGACGACGTTACCCTAAACCCTAAACCCTGTTCCACTACACGTTTGGATCGATGGCTCTCCGAAGACTGGAAGATTGTGAGAGAAGATGGCACGAAGAGGAGGGGCGAGATAGGATGGAGAAGGTGTTTCTTACAATAGAGTGTTACTGAGTCACTAAAGAATTCGATGGAGTCTCCAAAGTGACGGGAAATGGGATATGGCCGGCCCTCAGAAAAGGGCAGTGGAATTCATGCGGTTTGAGGTTGTGACAGGCTGAGGGTCCAAGCGAAATGATGATTTGTAGTATTGATTTGTGTTATTTGCTGGACTCATGTTATTGCTTGTATATATACTATACTATTGGGACTCAGGTCCCTACCGTCAACATCATAGTTCATCATCATTCATCATTATCCACATGGACAGGCAATCACCTATTCATGAACAGGCAATTCTTATCACTTCTTGTATACAGGATCTTCCAACTGTACAAATTCCAAAGAACTGCACCACCCTTTTATCTTGTAGATTTGATGTAGGGGCATGTAATGTATCAAATTAGGGACCTTTCCTTTTTGTTGGACCACCATGGACCGGGCCACCTGCGTGCGTCGCCCTTCCTCCAGGTGCTGGTGGAGTACACCGACGACGAGCTGCGAGAAACGCTGAAGGTGGCCACCACGGGGAAGCTCGGCAGTTCGGACGCCATTCTGGCGAAGGAGCTCAAGTACAAAGAGGCCACATGGGTGGGTGGAGACATGTGGGTCTCGACCAAAACGCCGACTGGAAGAAAGGCGGAGAATCACCACTCTGAGGTGATGAGCATAGAAGCATATAGACATAGAAGCTATAAGTAGGACATAGACATAGCAGTGATCGGCGATTTTCGTATGTGATAGGCATGTATAGGTGATGTGCCTTCCGTCTCACGTGTTGAATCAGGCGGTTTTGCCTGAGACCAGGTCACCGGGATGTTCGAAACACGAAGAAAGAAGGTCCGCTTCGCGGATCGGATTGAAAATGTGGATGTTAATGGTGTTTTCTCGGAAAACAACCAACCAACCAACCAACCAACCAACCAACCAACCAATTGGTTGGTTGATTTCACTTTGGCTTCCTTCCGCTGAAATGACCAAATCCCAAGCTCTATGAGGACAAAACCCGCACAGGCCCAGTTCCACGGCGAGGTGGCCTTCGCTCGCCACGTGGAACGCCTGGTGCTGCCCAAGGCGAGACGACACCGACCAGTGAGTAGTGAGTGGGTCAGGAAACCGTGTTCTGCAAGGAATCTGAGTTGGTCTCGCGTGCGGAGATGGATCACCACTTGAGGATCACCACTTGAGGATCGACACCTTTTGGATGACGTTACGGATCCAAGAACAGTTGAGCACTGCAAAAGAGAGAAGACTAAATCGTTCCGGCCTAAGGGAATGATGGAGGACTGGATGTTCCTTCTGCTTAGACTGATGAATGGGGGGATTGTTGGGGTTCAAGACATGTCAAATTTAACAACAAGAGCAACAACCATCCAACCAGACAGGCATCCCACCAACCAACCATCCAACCAACATACCAGCCATCCAACCAACCATCCAACCAACCCAACCAACCAAGGACACCCCGAATCACTCCTTTTCAAGACCCAAAACAATAGGCACAGCCGAGCCAGGCCGAGCCTCAGACGAAGAAGTTCATTCGTTGATCAAAACCGAATCTGAAGAAGTTTTGGGGTCGAATTGGCGGCTGGCGGTGAAAGTACGTGTCCCCGTCCGGTGGTGGTTTCTTTTGGCATCTTTTGCGTGTCGCATTGTGTCAGTCTTCGTCACCACAGAACATGCCAATTCTATAAAGCAGACCTACACCATTGCATCTTGCTTGGGTTCACAACAGCACACAAAACTTAGTGGTCGAGGGTCTTGTCGTGCGTCGGCCGATCGGCATGGCCACGTGCGGCTCGGCATGGCCTGCAGGTGGACAAATATATTGATCGTGAGGATGACATCAAAGCAGTGTGCTCCAAGAATGGCTGGGAGTGGCTCAGAAGAAGAATACGGAGCACCCAGTCTCCCCCAGTTCTCACAACCATTTTAGGCTGCATGGAACTAGGCCGATGTCGGACGGCACGTAGTCGAAACGCACTAGGCTGAGGGTAGACTTTATAAAGATGTGCGAACTAAGGGGGGACGAGTCTTTGATGGGCTCTGATCCATTTTTCCGAGCAACTAAACCAAACACACAGCGTGAGACCTTTAATCCTTGCCTGAGGCACACGCTCTGAGTTAACTTTTGGTTTGGGTGGGTCAAGGACGCCTCACATGCATCTCACGATTCCATTGAGATTTTTGGGAATCAAACCCCCCAGGATTTGCCCCTGCTCATGTTCAGCTTCTTGCTTTGCACTGCAAAGCAAGTCCAAAGTGAGGTGGTGCTGGATGGAGGAGGAGAAAGAACGGCGAGAAAAGCTGGAGGTCAAGCCGCGAAGCATGTAAAACCCTGCAATGTGATGGGACTTGGTTGTGGTGATGAAATATCGGGTCCACGGAAGAGAACAAGGAACACCAGACAGAGCGGCTCGCAGTCTGAGAGTGGAAGACTTTTGAACTCCCCCTTCTAGCCAAAGGTTTGGTGAGATCAATCTGGATCTGTTCAAAGGCAACCCAGTTGAAGGCACTCCAGAATCAAGATGAGCTATACGCACAATTACGCATAATATATATATATATTAATATGTATATTACATATATGTGTATATATACTTATATTCTGATACAAAACGTCATCAATCCAACGGTCTTTGAAACATGTTTTAGAATGTTCTTGTATGTTCTTGTGCTTGTTCAAACATTTGGGCAAATACATCGAGAAGTGAGCAGGAGCGGTGCACCCAAGATAAAACACGTCAGGCGGAAGATAAAGCTTCGGACGACAAGATCAATGCCTGGAGGGCCAAGCTAAAGGCCGTCCCAGCCGTCCCACGCACGTCGTGCATCCGTTCCTGGGATGCCCTTCCTGGCCAGTAGTGCACAGGAACGAATTCATACACTTTCTCCTGTTGTGTGCATCTGTTTCCCTCGCAGTGGCATCGTTTCCACTCACTTGGTGATTGAAATCACTGAACAGCGAGATGTTTGGCTCGTGGTCGTCGCTCAGCCGTCCCGTCAGGCCATGGCAGAAGGCCCCAACGACGACGTGACGGTGCCCGCAGGCGAGGCCGGACCCGTCCGAGGCACGGACATGGAGATGGAGTCGTGAATGCCCGGAGTCATCATGATGTTTCTTCTCCGGGTATTCATGGCTGATGGTGCGATCATGATGGTGTCATGGTGTGTTTGCACAATCATAGATGACTGTGTTGCAACACCGGAACGGAGAAAGATGGGGTGGCGCGACCGTGATGTTTGTTCTTCATCGTCGCCAGCGGCCGGCGGAGTGCGTTCTTCTTAGTGCAGGGGATCCATAGTGCGTTTGTTCGACAGGTCGATGAGGCCGAAGGAACATGAAGGAACAAAGGTTTCAGGCTTCAGCATGTTTCAGCTGTTGTTTTTATCATGTTTTATCCCATCCATTATCCATTGCTCCAAGTTCTTTCAATTGGAAGAGAAATCACCCCGATGTCAAAACCTCCGCAGCTTCGCTTGTTTAGACACGTGAAGACTCTTCGTGATGCACGGATCTGGGCGTCGACATGTTGAGATTGGTGGGTAGTTTCATGGACATCGCAGTCTTGAAAAGGCCCAAACCACTTCAACGTCAACCATGGGTCCGGATATTACCACGAATTGGCCTATGGGATACGGATTGACTTCTTACCATCATGGATATGCTTTGTTAGAGAAGGGCAAGTGGAGTTCCCCAACAGACTTATTCAAGGACCAAGTGGCCTCAGTTGGCCTTCTGAGCTCGTAAAATAGGTCGAAGGTCATAGTATTTGGATTCATAGTGATCACTAACTTTTTAGGACTGATGGGAGGAAAAAGAACGAGCGCATCGTCCGACTTGCACTCAATCTATTGTCCCTCCTGGGATGAGTTGCTTGCGACGCCGGTGAGAACAAAACTCGTCGTTTTCGACACACTGCGCACCCCTCGCCGTGTGGACCGGTGAGGTTTCTGCAAGAAGGGCTGTGGCAAACCGGTCGCTCCAGGGCTCACGAAGAACGGCAATCCCTACAAGACCTGCTGTCGAGGCACGCGATGTTTGGGCGCAGTGGCGGGCGCATTTCGCGCACGAACCGGGATCTTCGTGCCCAGATCTTCTCTTGCGCGTTCGCGCATTGGGTTGCCAGTGTTGCACGAACAACTTCAGGATGTGCCTTGGGCTTCGGCCACGATTTGCGCTGCGGCCTCAAGGTGCCGGACGGCTGAAACCGGCGGGGGCGGTAGGGTGGTGGCGGGAATAGGCCTTTGCGCCTTTGTTACTAGTGGCGTCCTTGCTCCTAGTAGTAAGGCCCGGAGCCCCTAGCAGTGTCCTTCCTCCTAGGAGTATACATTGTATTTGGGTGTAAAGAAGAGAAGAGCATCCCTATCATATCCTATCAACAACATCCCCATCACGAGAAGTGTACAGAACCATGCTTCACTTGTCCAAAAAGAGGGTGGGCAACGTGACATGAGACCTGAGACCGGAGTTCTTCCAGGCTGGTGAGCGACCTCCTTGCAAGATGAACTGCGGCATGTTGGCAGCTCCAGGCAGGACTTGGGTCGGTCAAACACGTCTCCGAACCTCCAACCTACTAGCAATGGTCTCCGACCTATGGGGTCGCCTGAAAGGTTTTGGAACAGGGACAGTTCCCGAAGTCATCATGCGCCAACCTGAAAGGCATGGCCCCGATGTCCGAGGACCATGTGGTAGTTGTCCACTTGTATTTCAGGGAGGGTATAATGTAAATTATATAAGGTTCAGAATCTTGTTTCTTCTCTACCCAAGGATCCCTATTCTGCTTCTTGCATTTGTGGGCGGAAAGGAGCTCATGAATGACGTTGGGGGAATTCTGGGGGACTCAGAGGCTTCGAGGGAGGACTATGAAAAATGTTTGGACCATATGCCTGGTGTTGGACCCTTAGATCCTTTTGAAACCCTTGAATGCAAGGGATCCGTTGAAAGAGGTCTCCAGTAGGTGATTTCAGGGGGACTGGGGGACCCTGGCACATGAGCCATTTGGCTCGTCGATTTGGCCGCTGAAACCTGTGTCAGTGTCACTGACCAAGCCTATGAGTTGATGTGAGGTGTTTGGCGTTCTTGATGCTTTTGGTCACGTTGTTTGTCCAATTGCTTCCAATGCACAGTGATGAACTGCCTGAGAATGGAAGAACACGCCGAACATAACCATGAAGTTCATTCAGGGCACAAAATTATTCCTTAGGTTGAACAGGTTTGAACCACTAGACTACCATGAAACATCCAGAAACCATGTATATATATAGGTTTTTTGTTGGATTTGAGGTTGGTCTCCTGCCTCTTTAGATGTAAGCCTTGGAACGATGTGTTTGGATTTGGACATCGCACAGCCCCCCCTCTGAGCAGTCTCGATGTGCACAGTCGAAAACGCCTTCGAAGGGCTTGTGAAATATAAAAAAAAAACATGTCGGAGAACTCTTCGAGATGTATCACGTAGGACAACGGGAGGGTTACAGAAATATAATGGAAAAAAAAGTATTAAAACAAAAGAACTGAACAAGCCCAGACATTTCTTCATAGAAATGTCATACATCTCGCGTGCTGATTCGATTTGTGTTGGGAGAATCGTTTTCACCGCTCACCCCACGAGAAATGTTCAGATGTTGTCACCACAGATGCATGAGATATACCAACATATACCAACCCTGTGGAAAGAACAATACTAGTTTTACTAATAATAATAAGTCTACAAATAAAATAAAACTTCGCAACTCCAGTTTTACGTTCGCACTCCGGGCTGAACGCCACACTACTCACGTCTGCCAGGCACCACCTCGAAGGGACGGCCATTGGACACCTGCTGTCGTGGTTGTGCCAAGGGAGGTGACCATGACGCCAGATGCCATGGAGACCCTGCGGATTAAGGCAGCTTCAAAGAGACAAAAAGAGCGATTTAAGGACAAAAGGAAAACAAAGCACTGGAAGATTCTTCAATACACTAAACAGGTGTGTGTGTGTGTGTGTTTGTTGCTTCTTCGATCCAATTACTGTATTTGTTGTTTGACTTGGCTCTCATCAAGTCATTTTATTGTGCGCTAAGCAGCAAACCTCGCATGTCATACCACATAATGAATTGTTGAACCAATGTTGAACCAAAGAATTGTAATGATGAAGAGCCAAATCAAGAATAGTGGCTCAGACGGTTTGCATAGATTGAGTTTCTTGACGATGCCTCCTTAAAGGAGCGAGTCATCAAGTGAATCGAGTCGGTTTGTCTCACCTGGTTAAGACCGAAAAGGCTTTCAGGCGCCCGCGACCAGGTCATCAGGCCACCCTCGGGTGAGGTCGAAAACGGGTCCGAGAGAGGGAACCTGAGCAGCGGATTCAGGAGGATTCAGGGGAAGTCCGCGAAACCTTGGAACGCTACGAGAACGCTTCTTTTTTCTTTGTTTCTAATAGCGATGGCCTCCAACCTAAGAGCGATGGCCTCCAACCTACTAGCTTCTTGTTACTGGTAGCTACGCAACTCATTTGGTCACCTGAGTTCAACTTATCACCCAGGAACTTTCGCTTCGGCAGGAGCTTTGAAGGTGACCTGCACATGTTCCATGTTTGTAGCGTCCCAAGCGTCCCAATTCCGCAGGCAGTCCATTCCGTTGCTCCCGGTCTTTTGTTCCAGCGATTTGGGGAACTTTATCCAGAACATTTTCGAACTAATCACTGCATATATATATATATATATATCATCCAACTACGCAGCAGTATATTTCATCCAACTAGCTTAAATGCTGCAGGTGTATAAGATAACCAGAATAGACGACGCATGAAAATGGCAACTTTTTGTGGAAAATCACATGATCTCAGCCTGGGAGGCCCCAGCCGGTTTTTGACCCGCCAAAGGCCCCAGACGGTCTACGAGGATCTTTGCCCTTCGGGTTTCTACTGTGCAGAGGCGCGCGCGCGCCTGCGCCCTAAAACCTAAGAAAAGAGGCCATTGAACGCGAGGCCACTGGGTGAATGTGAAATCCTGCCCCTACAAATCTGGAGCTACGAACATTCCACCAAAAGCTCACACTCCAGAACTTCGCATCCTGAATGTGACATGCATTTCAACTATTATGCATTACCCAAGTTATACGCTATGTCCCTTATAGTGACTGATTGCTCCAGCTACGATCCACTGGGTGGTTCCTACAAAAAGGAACAGAAGCTTTGGACGCGCACTTTCTTTGAGAGGAAAAGGTTCACCAGAATCAATCAGTTGATTGTTTTATGGATCCTGCCTTTGGATCTAGAGAGGGTTGAAGAGGTCCAATTAAACAATCTACATACACATCAAGCAAAGCAATTACCACACACCGGGCGTCAAGACTTAGTGAAGTTAAAAGGAAGGTCAGCTGTACGCCTGTGCCCCGTGGATGGCTCGTAAACGCTGGGAATGGCATAGCCACACATCTCTCTAGAATCCTTGGCGCTTTTCGAGTGAACAACTCTCATGCAACGACCCAGACTTCCGTGACAGGATAGGAGACCTGCGACCACATTGGCAATCCTCGCTGTACTATATAGTAACAAGAAGCTACTAGGTGGAGGCCATCGCTATTAGGTTGTAACAAGAAGCTACTAGTAGCTATTTGCTACTAGAAGCAAGTGTCAGTACCTCAATCAATCCGCATCACTTCCAAAGCAAGAAATGCCCTTTGGAGGGTCTTGGGAAGAATTGTCGGTAGAGCACAAGGCATAAACGGGCACACAAGTTGAGAGAAGTATTGTATACTGTATTGCCTATTCAACAGCATTGGGGTGGTTTCAGGACTCAACGTTGGCATACAACATATTGCATACATGTTGTGTTTGGGATGTATTGTATAGAAAACGGAAGCGTCGTAAATCGCAGATTCAGCAACGAAGTACGAGCCCTGGTCGCATGAGGAGCAAACGTCCACAACCAAGAAACTGAATCTTCCAATCGCTGCATCGAAAGTTTGACAACATTCCATGTCGACCAAGGACATACAGTCATCAACAGGAATTGAAGTGGAGTCTTGACCCATCGCAGACAGCTCTTCTCGAAAGAAGAAATGGACCGGTGGACGACCAGGTCGGACGTGGCGATGGCCTCCAACCTAATAGCACAACGAACCTCAGAGCAATGGCCTCCAACCTGCTAGCGATGGCCTCCAACCTAATAGGGTGTTCAGTCTGCAGCAAGGTTCAATGAGGCCAAGGACAGCTGGAAGACACGCTTATTGCCGGCGCTTGCCGTGCCGCCCTGAAAAACCACGGCACGGCACGCGGCACGCTGTGCGCATGCTGTCAGGGTTGAAGCCACAGTGCCTTGCTAGCATGTTTTACTTTGTATCCATAGTAGAGGCTCAAGCTCCAACGAAAGTCATCCAAAAATGCAGTTCTGATATTTCTGAGTGTTGAGTAGCTACAGCTGAGCTATCGAATATGTTGTTTCGCCTGGTGTTTCTGATTTGCTTTTTGCGCCTACACCGCCCTTTTTTGTGGTCCGATTTCGTTCGATCCGTTTGGTTCGGCCAGGCGACCACCTTCGTGAACCGCTACAAGTTCCGCTGCCCCATCGGCGGCTTAGCAGTGTCACCGTCGAGCCAGACGGTCGTCGGGGGGTGTTCGGGGGGTCGAGGGGTTGGCAGAGAACTCGGAGGGGGTTTCCGGAGGGGGTGGACTTGGGGATCTAGACGTCATGACGGCCCAAGCTTCTTCGCGCGCTGGCGCGCGCGAGGGCGATCGGGTGCGACCGGGTGGGAGTGGTTCATGCGAAGCGGTGAAGGCTTCCAGTTTGGGAGTTCAATCATGTTCGATCTTTGGCCCTAAAGTCCACGTTTGTGACGCGACACTGGACAAAACCAGAGAGGGCGCACACTGGAAAAAAAACTGGGCTGGGCCCAAAAAAACAGACAGGGTGGCAGACGGGTTAATGTTACAAGTAAACAATGTCTGGAACGTTCAGGAACTCTTGTAGACCTTTTTCGGCCCTGGTTCCAAGTGCTTTGCAGCTCGGTCAACCGACTGACCTGGTGGTGGTCTGAGGTTTCTACTGCCCAGAGGGCACTGGAGCAAGGAAGGATCTCAAGCCACTCGGCTCTGCTCGTAAAACGTGCCATTACCATAGGACTGGGGTGTGCTTTATAAAAGACTAAAATATAGATAGACTCTTGATAATAAGCCCCCAAAGAGTTGTTTCAATCCAAATGGAGTGGGTGTATTGATCAAGAGTCTACATCATTAGACTGACCATGACCTTTCTCCAAGTCCCACAGTCAGTAAAACTGCGCATCACACTCTTTGAATTTTGGAAGCTGATTGCCCATCATTCATGATCAGAACATGATTAGGTGATTAGGGAGCTCGAGTAGGTCTTTGGACACGGTCCAGACTGCGATGAATCAGAAATCCTTTTCCCTGCATCTATATCCAGCAGCCCATCCTGAAATCTACAGATTGGCTAAAAGGTTGGCAAGCACTACTTCGACGCCATCCAAACCAAAAGATTCGGTCGGAACCCCAACGACTCTTTTTTCGGGTAGAGACGGCCGACAGGCGTTGGCTGCAAGAGGGCGATGTCTTCTTCTTTAAGCGCGACTTCTATCTGTCACAGAAGGCGGGAGACTTCTCTTTTCAGGACAGGACGTGTGTGGGTCGTTGGCTGGACCGGTGCGCGGAACCGGACCGACTTGCTCCGCTGTGCGAGCTGGAGCGCTGTGGCGTCGTCCCATCTCTGCACTGGCGTCTAAGCATGTCTGAGCACAACAGCCGTACCTCAGATACACAAATGCAAGTGATCAGCATGTGTTTGACAGAAAGAATCCCCCCAAGACACTCCAGGAACGGGAACGCGACACATCCGCCTTGAGGTGGCTCAATTCTGCCTGCGGCAGATCATGCGAAATCGCTTTGAGTTCGTGGCGCTGGAGCAACAGCGCTTGGCGCGAGCCTGGATGCCTAAGTCCTCCACGGTTTTTGGAGGGGGCGAAGGAAATCGATCGGGTGAAGGGGGCGAAGGAATCGGCGGAAGAATTCATGGAGACTGGAGCAATCGCTGAAGAATCACGGAATTCTTCTCATGAGTGTTGAAGACTATATAGTTTGGGAAATCTAAAAACAGCAATAATTGGCTCAAATGTCTTTCCTTTTTTGCAGACCAGCAGAACTGCTGAAGGGCTGTATAAAATTTGATTTACCAGGCATAAAAATCCAAGGACCGCTCGTTAAGGAAACCAACATCCAAGGACTTCACAGCAAAAGGTGACCTTCAAAATGAACTCCTGAGAGTTCTTTCATGTTTGTTGACCTGTGATGACGGTCACCACAGCATGCCCAGCATGCAGTGTGTGGGTCTTTTTCCAAAGGGGAGACACCACAAACGGTGTTTGTCTTGCTTTTGCGTGAAACGCTTTTTTGGGGATCTGCGTGACGTCCTCCAGTTTGCCGAAAAAAGCGATCGGCGCGGCACGCGTGGCGAGGCCAATCTGCCACTCATCGATCTGAAAGAAATGACCGAAATCTGGAGCAGCTGGATGGAGGACATGTTCCTAGTAGCTTCTTGTTACTACTAGTAAGGCACCTGTTACTACTAGTAAGGCACTTGTTTCTACTCAGCCCACCCAACTCGTCCTGGTCCAGTCCAAGTGCCAAAAAGCCAAGGGCTCGCCCCCGCTGTGGAGTGTCTTGTGACCCTGAAACACCCCTCTGTGACCCTGAAAGAAGTGTCGTATGGACCCCTCGTTTGGTTTGGGACCTGGCAAGCACCGAGAGGAGTTACCAGAGTTCCACAAGATACGGTGTTCAAACAGATCAATAGGCATTTCTGCAGCTTTCACTTCATCGACACCTTTGATCAACCTATTCACCCTTTCGCAAAGGTCGACCTCTCCCATCTCGCCTACCATCGCCCACAACCGTCCGCACGGCACAACAGCTCGCCTTCGCCGCACGGTGCGGGGACTTCGCCGCAC